CTAAAATTGAAAATTCTTGTTCTGTGAAAATCGCTCTCCAGAAATGAAGAGGTAAGCCAGAGTAGGAAAAAATATTTGCAAAAGACAAATCTTGTTAGGATGGAGGGTCAACATTTTAAGTTCCTTACATGTGGAACTGGTGTGATTTATTTTGGTATTGGGTATGAGGGACACACCTACCTTTATTTTCTTTTAAATGGATAGACAGTTTTCTCAGCATCAATTTTAATGAATATTTTTAGACATATAGATTACAATTTCACTTTATCATGATCAAACTTCAAGACATATTTAAAACTATTTGTGACATACTTTTCTGTTCAATTTATTTATATGTCCATTCATGTAGTAATTCCATAATGTTTGAATTGTAGTAGCTTTAGAGTAAATTACAGAGCTGCCTATGAGTAAACAGATACCTTCTAATAAGATTTATTACTTGTACCTGAATACCTCCAGGTGATATTCTCTTTTTCAGACTCTTTCCTATTCACTCAATTTAAATTCAGATCGGATACATATTAAAAACTGAACTAAAATGGCTAACATGGGTGAGTTTTTTTTTTTTATATTCCTAGATTTAAAATATGGGAGAGTAACAGAATGCAACATTTTTAAAAACCTCTAATGACTCACATTTCCTATCTCTAATTAAAACAAAATACCCCGTAGAATACCTTTGCATCATTTACCCAGTTTCATTAATTCTGGCTACTGAAGTTAATTTAAATTCACTCTTGTAAAATGAGAGCTCAGTATCAGCTTTTTTCTCTGTTAGCATACTCAGAGAGACTCCCAAATAGTCATCTGCTAGGTGGTAAGCAGTAAACAGCCTTGTCTATTGCAAATAATCTTAGCCAATAAATGTTATTTATGCTCCATTTAGGAATAAAGATGTTAATCTGAGATCACAAAAGGATCTTCTTGTTAAAGCTAAAGGCAGTTCTTCTGTGATTAGTTGCCGATACAAATATTACCCAATTTCTTTCGTCTTATCTGACAGTTGTACAGAAAGAAAACTAGATACAAGAATGCAAGTCAAATCCATTATACATGAAACTGTATACAGCCCCTGTATCTCCAGTGATTTCTAGATGATTTCTATGCCCAAGCCTTCATGCTATCCTTTCTTCCTAAATAGAAATTTAAGAAGTTAGCCGAGACCTAATGAGAACAACTGATTTTGATTTTGGGAATTTGAAGCCAAATCCCCAAGTCACATTTTGATCATTTAGGAAAACTCCATAACTGCTATACTCAGCCTCAGTGTCCACATAAGTAAAAGGGAAAAAATAACTGTTAACATGGCTTTTCTGAGGATTGAAATGCTGATACACATGGAAATACTTATCATTCCGATTGGGTGTTTTTAAAATGTTGTCTAAAATTTAAGTACATAAATATAAAAAAGAAGCAGACAAAAAAGTCCCATCATCATTTTATTACCCAGACAAACCTCTGTGGTTTCCTGATATGAAACGGGCCTTTTCTCTTTAATTTTCTTTGTTCTGGTTTCTGAACACTCCCTTAAACTGCTTTCAGGGGTAGAGGATGACATTTCAGGAAGTTTTATTCCAATTCTTAATGTCTTTACTTTGGGAAATAATAGTTGCTGTGCTGAGCCCTGCCAAGTCAAGGAGAGTGTTGGAGAATTCTCTCTTCCTCCTTCGAGATGGCCACTGACTGTTGGTATGGGATAAGCCTTTCTTTGATTTGCTTGTGGTTAGTGTTTTTGTCTGCTGGATTTATAAAACATTTTTTCATGTTTGCTTGTTCAGACTGAGAGGACTAGGGGCTATGTTTTTAAAAGGCAATCCCTTCATTTCAGAAAACCTTCTGAATTGTGCCGTTGCATAGAAGATAGTTAACATATTCCGGACTCTATATTTTGTTTTTTAGCTTTCTACTTCAGTCTCCGAACTAACAATGGCTAAGAATAAAAGGAATTCTGATCCAGATAGATTTCCCTTGTAGAGTATATAGAATATGAGGGAAAATGAAAATTGGAAAAATTTTTTGCTCCTCCTCCATTTTTGTCAGGTACCTCAGTCACCTCACTGGGTGTTTCTAGCATGGCCTCAGAAAGACTCTAATTTGATTGACTGCACAGTTCTGGAGTAGGAAGCAAGATCTAGACAACCTTATGTAGAGGCTACTTGAAATTATATTCAAGAGGGGTCATTCAGCCAGTCAATCTTCTCACTTGCATTATAAAATGAGTTCCTGATGCCTAAAAAATTGGACATATGGTCACTTGGAATAGAAGGTGGCTATTTACCCCAGAGCATCTATCTGTCTCTTTGTATTTTTAATGCCTAATGGGAATATCTTGAATGACCTCCTACTTTCCTGTTTTTTCTTTAATTTCACTTAAAAAATTGTGGCCATTAAAAAATTTTTAGTTTGGGGCACCTGGGTGGCTCAGTTGGTTAAGCGTCCAACTTCGGTTCCGGTCATGATCTCACAATTCATGAGTTCAAGCCCTGTGTCAGGCTCTGTGCTGACAGCTAGCTCAGAGCCTAGAGCCTGCTTCAGATTCTGTGTCTCCCTCTGTCTCTGACCCTCCCCTGCTCACACTGTGTGTCTCACTCTCAGAAATAAATAAAACATTAAAAAATTTTAAAATAAATTTAGTTTATTTATTTTGAGAGAGAGAGAGCAAGGGAGGGACAGAGAAAGAATGAGAGAGAGAGATTCTCAAGTGCTGGCAGTGTGGAGCCCAAAGCAGAGTTAAAACCCACGAACTGTGAGATTGTGACCTGAACTGAAATTAAGAGTCGGGTGCTTAACTGATTAAGCTACCCAGGCGACTCAAATTGTGACCATTTTTTTTTAATGCAAAAGAGGGCAATGTTTAAAATTAATGAAAAAGACATTCTTAGTAGTCTAAGGTTCAAGGTAACTTGGCAGGGAAAAAAAATCTTGAATGATAAAATTGTAAAGCTGGTATGCTTGGCTATTGTGACATTTTATGTATGAGTTTCTCTTACTTGAAATTACAAGATACTATATGACTGATAATTAGTAATATTCTGCTTGCTAACTAGAAAGCCCATTGAAAACCACTTTGATTAATTATTTGAAAGTTATAGGAAGGAACCACCATGATCTAACTTTTGAACAAGTAGAGTTGTAACATAAAGCTATGACTCAAAATTCAAAAGGAAGCTTGGAATTACTTGTTCATTTTGGCATCACAATCCAGGTGTATTTCAGAAAAACGAGTTGCCTTTAAGTCTTATGGGTGGTCAGAAATATAATTTTTTTAAGATGGGAAACTGAAAGACACTATTACCAAAAAAACACCTGCAGTGTTGACATCTATATTTGAGCATCTTTCATTTTCCCAAGGGGTGCAAGTGATAAGAAGTAGGCGAGAAATCCACTTGAATAAAGCTTTTCAAAATGGATGGAACAGAAAACATTCCCAGAGGCAGGTCAAGTTCAACCCAAGAACAACTCTCTCAGTGCTTTCACAACTAGTTAAAATACAAGACCAATAATACCTGAGCTCTCAAATCAGTGCTGAAATCCAGCAGAAGGTTGTTAATATTGATATGGTTAATATACATCAAACAGGATTCCTTTAATTTTCTGAATCGAAAAATTCTCCACAGTGTTGACATTTCCTTACTGAACTCCCAGGATTGTTTGGTTTCAAAGGCTGTTGGGCTCAAGACGCATTTTGTTTTAAATAATCCTTCATAAAAAATTCAGCTTTCAGTCTAATATGATTGAAACTCAGCTTGAGTGTGTTTTATAATGCATTGAACTGGAAAGACTATGGGCACTGAATTATTCAAAACATGGTAGGTGAAGGAGTGATATGAATTCTCATGTGGGGAGGAGGTGATCAAAGAAATCAGTGAGACTTGATATGTCTTGTTATCTCATTTTATTTACCTTTTAGAACTCCTCCAAATATTAGAGGAAAGAAATCAATATCAATTTTCACCTCTGTCACGTTCCACACTTCAATTATTAATGAATGTCAAATTTGACCACAGTTCTCTCTACCACCTGCTTTGCAATAATATTTCTGAGCCTTTATTAAAAATGTAAAATTGTCATTGAATTTCCAAATATGATTCTCCAGTGGCTAATTCAGCTTGTTTTATTAATAAGCAGGTTCTGATGAGTAATACTAATTTAATATGCCTGCATGTAAGATTAAACTATAAATTATTCCTGCTGAAGGTGATGAGATATGACTGCTATGTGGTTGTTAGGCAATAACCTTCCTGAATTAACCCTGCAAGCACACAATTCTTGGAAGAAACCATTACTTCATATTGTAGCAAACCTGACATCATTTATGTTTAGCAGAAGAATATGTACAGACACACACAAACACATGGTGATAAGTGAAAAAACACATATGAACATTGTACATGCTTACATGAATTTCCAAATACAGTCCTTCAGAAAGAAAAGACTTTACTGACAGTTTGAATTGTTATAGTTTACTAATTTTGTCCATAGCACAATACTTCATGAAATCACTTACTATTTTGTTATGCACTCAATTTTGAGATGTTAAATACAAATTGAAACGATTATTAGAATCCTCATCCACAAAAGACTCTAAGTTACAAAGAACTTGGTGATTAGAGGTCAAAGCTGCCACAAAATAATTCTATACTCCAGAGACCATTAAAATACCCCCTTAAGGATGGAATGTTCCTATCAAGAAACTAGCTATCTTTCATTTATACTAAAAGGACAGAACAGTGGGGGGCTGTGGCTTGGTGACTACAGGAGACTTTCTCAGCTTTGTACAATAAGCCACAGACAATACATGGAATAGCCTGAGGCCTTTTATTTGTCTTTTGTACCACGCTCTTTCATATAGTGCTCCTGATCAATTACACTTAAATCAACAAGAGTTGCTTGAACATTTGACAGTTGTGTTCTCCATATAACCTACCATACCCTAAAGCATTTTTGAGGGTTACTGAGATAAAACTAATTCAAAAAACCCTCTCTCCAAATTTTTTCAGGTGACATCAATGAAGTAAGTTAGAGGGGGAAAAAAATCCACCTTGATTTCCTGGGCTGCCAATCTAAGGTCAGGCAAGTATAAACCTCTATAGCAAAACATAAATAGTTCCTAGTTGAGAATTTGATTTCCATGGTCTTACATAAAAATAAGTAGAGACTTTACTTTCCTGTAATCTCTTTTTCAAAGAGTAAATATAGCTTATCCATAAGAGATGATAAAAATTCAGATCTTTAAATCTCTAACATTTTATCAACTGCTTAGCAATTGATAATGCTTAGCAACACACACACACACACACACACACACACACACACACACCCTACTATTCACAGTCCTAGAACTTATGCATTTCCTTTATCTACCAAGACTAAATGGTAGTTTAATCTCTAAATACAATAAAGCATCAGATCACAGAAGAATCATAACATTTTATTTGATATCAGAATGAATTCATTGTTCTTGTGTAAAGAGGGAAATACCTTTGGTTTTTTTTTCCTCTTCTTTCTTATATCCAATTACTGCATCCTGGATGGAGGGTTTTTCTTGATTGTTTGGTTTTTTTAGAGTTTACTTACTTACATTTGAGAAAGAGAGGGATCTGCAGATGTGCATGCACAAGCACACTAGAGAGTTGAGGAGGCTCTGCTCCACTAGGGACAGATATAGGGCTCGAACCCAAGAACCAGGAGATCATGACCTGAGCCAAAGTCAATAGCCAGTGCTGAACCATCGGAGTCACCTAGGCGCCCCTCCTCAATTTTAACCTAAAGGAGAAATGTTCCCTTTTGTTAACTTGGAAATCGGTACCCTCAGTCGACAGAGCCAACTCCTGTTTTTATTCAGCTAAATTCGCATTTCCAGTGATGATTCAAGGTTTAATAGGATCTCCTCTGCCACTCCAAAATCTAAAAATAAGCTTCTCACCAAAGTTTCTTGGTAGCCCATTACCTATTCTGTGGCAAGGCAGTTCAGAACTCAAATACAATGATATCTAATATCTTCTCTGATATATTACTCAATGGATGGCTACTGAGTTAAGACAGAGTCTTATCATTGCTTAGAAAAAATGTTGGTTATGAAACTTAATATGGACCCCCTTATATAGACTAACTTGGAAGTTTAGTTTCAGAGGATTTTGTGAATGTACCAAGGAGAGAGGACCCAGGGTTATCCCATTCCCACAAGCCCAGCATATATATTTGCTCAATAGGAAAAAGAAATAAATGAAGATGTAATAGAGGAGAGACACTTGACAGATGATTGGCATTTCTGTATGGCAGCCATGCCCAAACTCATCTGTGATCAAATGCTCTGAAGCATACTTTTAAGGATAAACTTCAGAAGGGGAGTTTCAGTTATGAGGATACTTCCAGTTTCAGCTGTGTATGCAGAAAGCTTGGAATTTGTCATTTTGTCCTTACAAGACAAAACTGGACAAACTGACTTACTTTTTTTGGACCCATTGGAGAACTAAGTTTGTAGGATAAATTGCCATTCCAGAATCTGGAGAAGCAGACAACCTTAGAAAGTTACAGTTTATATCTGTTTATCTAGAGCAGAAGTGCTGGAACCGTAACATTTAAATAATAATTTTGAAAAAACCCTGGAGGCTGAGTATGGACTAACACAACAGTGAGAAACTCTGGTGGCTACAGGCTTTGGCCGTCCCCCCATACTTTTGTGGCCTTTGCTTCTGCAAATTCCACCAGGTTCTTCCAGTGAATGAAGATCAGAGGAAGATCCTCTCATGGCTCTGGCAGCAGAGGGGAAGATTAACTATTATCAATTACACCCAGAGGCTTTTCCATAGCAAAGGCCCATTCTTCAAGACAAAGACTCTGCCATAGCCTCCACACAATGGGGGATAAGGGCTTTCCTCCACTCCAACCCAATCTACCCTGCTTTCTCACCTGAGGAGAGAGGCTCACAGTCAACAGGAGTCAGCATAACACTGTAGCCCGAGAAGAGAGCGAGGGATGCAGGTTAACACAAAACAAAACAAAAAGCTTCTATCCCTGGGAATACACCTGTGAGGGTCACGGCCCCAAAAGACATGCCTAATGAAAGATTGAGATGCAATCATAAGGTTATAAAATAGCCCCTCACCTTCACACCTTAACACCACACTAACAGACCCCAATGTAATAGCTATGGATTAGAACTGAAAGCTGCCAGGCACGTACACTGCCTCTGAGGGAGAGTTCTCAGGGAAGCGCAAGGTCTCTAACATGGAGGCAAAGCCAAGGACACTAATGTTGGAGCCTTGAGCAGCCACAACTACAGCAAATTTTAAACATCGCTCAACTTCTAGCCAGATGAGCATAGATTCTCACACTAAAGGCCCACCATGTCGATTTTCAATAAATAATTACAAGATGCAACAAAGGGCAAAACAAACAAGTTTAAGGAGACAAAGTAAGCATCAGGAACAGACTCAGATGTGGTACCAATATTGGAATGATCAGGGAATTTAAAATAACTGATTAATGTGTAAGAGTAGACAGTATTCACGAAGGGGTGAAAGATGTAAGCCAAGAAATGGAAACTCAGCTACAGAAATGAAGAATGCCTTTGATGACCATATCATTAGACTTCACATAGCCAAGGAAGGAATTAGTGAGTTTGAAGATTTGTCACTAGGAATTTCCCAAACTGAAATATGACTACACTCATAATTGGAATACCAGAAGGAGAAGAGAGAGGAACAGATGAAATATTTGAATAAAAAATGGCTGAAATATTTCCAAAAATAATGAAAGACACCACACCATAGATACAGGAAACTCAGGCAACACTAAGCAGGATAAAAAAAAAGTTTTAAAAAAATAAAAGGAATACAAACCCTACATACCTAGTCATTTCATATTTAAACTGCTGAAAATTAAAACCAAAGAAACAATCTTGATAAAAGCCAAAGGTGGGGAGGGGAGACTATCTGTTCAGCACAGGAGAAGAAAAACTGTTTTCACTCTACCCATTCTGGGCCATTGTCTGAGGCCCTGATTAACAGACTGACAAGGGGCACCTGGCTGGCTCAGTGGGTAGAGCATGTGATGCTTGATCGCAGGGTATTGAGTTTCAGCCCTGCACTGGGTGGAGAGGTTACTTAAAAATAAGATCTTAAAAACAAAATAGGCTGACAAAAGACAGATTAGCAAGAGAAGACAAAGATGTGCATTACTATGTACAAGGCTCACACACTCGGGAGTACTCAGTGATTAGTAACTCAAAGAGGTGGTTAGAACTGGGGTTTATATAGCATCTTACCAAAAACCCCAAATTTTCAGAGAAATTACAAGACAAAAAAAAAGGACTTTAAGTTTCTCAGATAATGTATTTTGAGAGGGTAAATTTATAGGGAAACTAATGATAGATAAGGACTAGTTAGTAGAGTCTGTTATGTAGATTCCTCTGCTGAAATCTCTGGGTTTTTAGTTGTCTTTGATGATTAACTTCTGTCTTTCCTGGTAGAGATGTGTTGGTGGGGGAGGGAGGGCACCATTACAAATTTAAGTCCTGCTTTTAGGCAGATGGAAGAGAGCAGAGAGCTTTTCTTGTATCTGTTTCTTCTCAATTACCATCAGCTCCAAATAATCCTGTGACAAGTGGCGTGTTCTGGGATGGCATCTTCTGCTATCCTTCGAGAGAAAAAAGGAGAAAAACTATAGGGAACTTCTGGTCAGAAACCTTTCAAGCCGGAAGAGAATAGGGTGACATATTTAGAGTGTTGAAATAAAAGAAAAAAAAAAAAACTGCTAACCTTGAGGTCTTTATCCAGAGAAATTATCCTTCAAAAATAAAGGAGGAATAAAGAATTTCTCCAACAAATATTTTGAGGGAATTTATCAACAGATTTGCCCTGTAAGAAATGTTCAAAGAAGTTCTTCAGAGAAAAGAATGATATAGATCACAAACTCAGATCCGTATAAAGAGGAACATTGGAGAAGAAATAAAGATAAAATGCAATGTTTTTCTTAACTGATCTAAAAGATACCTGTTCAGAGTAATAGCAACAATGTATCAGATGGTAAGAAGAATGAAGGTACTCTGTTTAAAGCACTTTAATTGTACCTGAAGCATTATAGTGTCATTTGAAGGTGGGCTTAAATTAGTTAAAAATATATACTGCAAACTCTAGTGTAACCACTGAAGTTTTTTTTTAAGAAGTATAATTGATGCACTAAGAGAGGAGATAAAATGGAATTATACAACATGCTCAGAGGAAGAGAGGGGAAAATTCGATTGTGCAAAAAGAGATTAGAGAAATGAAAAATTTTCAATAAGAACAAAAGCAAGTTGAATGGAGAAGATGCAGAATTGGAGTGAAAAGAATGCCTTTCCTTTCTTCTATGTTCTTTTGAGAGTCTTTCACATTATATATTACTCTTTTGTTCTTTTCTTGCCTCGCAGGATGGGGTAAGACCCAATCACCCACAAAATAATTTGTGATTTTTTTTTTATCAGAAATCTTATGAAGACAAAGTAGCCTTTCGATACCCTTGCTGGCTCGGGGGTGGGGAGATATGTAACAGAAGCAGAAAAATTGAAAGGAGAAAAACAAAAGAAGGGAAACTGGAAGAAGGCAGAACCTATAAAAATAATGCTAAAAAGAACAAAAGCCAGGTCCACTTAAAACGTAGGTGTGGTTAGAAAGTGGAAGTACACTCGAGCTAGTTATTTAATCTTTGCAACGGCAAACTTCAAACATGACTGTTTTCCATTCATTTGCCTGCCTGGTAGACTGAATAGAATCATAGTCTATCTCTCGTTCCGTTGAAACCGCTGAACTGGTTGTTCATGTGGACTCAAGCACGATTTAAGTTGCTTGAGTGCTTGTGCAAGTCCCAGAGGGTGGGGGTTTGAAGGAGAGAATAGCAGAGGGCAAGGCTGAGGAAAGGGAATCCCACAGCGTTGCTGGAGCTGTGGGCCAGAATAAACAATGTGCTGTGACCTATTTAGCAAATGAAAACGCAAACCAGAGAAAGCGGCCAAGGTCAGGGACACACATCCCCTCCTGCTGAGATGATTTGGGATGTTCAGAACAAGAAAATGAATAGCTCACATGAGGGAGTTTCCTTGAACTCCCCTGGGTAATAAATCACTGACTATAGTGAAGTTTCTGCTTTTCTAAAACTTCGTTAAATAAATGGCAGCGGCAAGCTGGGGTTTAGTTTATATGTGGTTTCTTTTTTTAGACTAAAGGCAAATCTGATGAAGAAGAATTCTTCCCCGGGTGGGCCTGTTTATGTTCAAGCCTAGACTGCCTTCCTCTCTGCCTGTCTCCCAAGGTCACCAGAAGGCTCTGAAACCAGATTCAACTTCAGACGATTCCTGGTAAAATCCTTGGACTTGATGCTTATTTCACAGTGCATATTTTCTAGGTGATTTTGTATCCTGAAGTTATTTAGTTGTATTTAGGACTTCATGCTTACCAAGAAGAAGAGGAAAGAAGTCAAACTCTATACAGCCCACCACCATGGACAGCCCTTAGAATAAAGTAAAGAAAGATGGTTTTGATGGATATCTATCTATCTATCTATCTATCTATCTATCTATCTATCTATCTATGTATCTAGTCTACCTATCTGTCTGTCTATCTATCTAGTCTACCTACCTAGTCTATCATCTTTGTGTATTTTGATCCTAATTCTTATAACATAAGCATAGAAAACTAATCATTGGAAAATGGATTTTGAAAGTGTCCTTATTATAAGTGATATATTTTGTTAAAATTTTCAAACTTTCTAACATTATTTTATAGCAGTGATGTCCAACAGAAATAAAAACATATGGCCATATATATATGTTAAATTTTCTTTAAAAAAGTATTAGATTAAATTAAGTAATGTAATTTATATAACTCAAAAAATGCAAAATATTATCATTTCAGCAGGCAAATCTGCACAATGTTATTGAGTGTTTTCAATTTTTTTAACAAGCCTTCAAAATCTGGTGTGTATTTTACACTTCAAGCACATTTCATTCAGAATTGCCATATTTCCAGGGACTACTGCCTACTGTATTGGGGAGTGTGGTTCGACAAGAAAAATATCAAACTTCATATGTAGAGTATCATATAAATATGTTTATATCATACACACATTCATATACACACCCAGAGAATGATAAGTGAGGATGACAAAAATAACGTAGACATGTGTTTCCTAAGCTGTTTTATGAGACCCTGGTAACATGATGTCAGATGAGATGTTATTGGATAAAGAGCACATTTAAAAACATATTCTTGCAAAATCAGAAATTTGGAAACTCCAGGATACACAAAATTAAATCCCTCTGCCCTTTTTAACTATAGGACTTCTCATAGCTTTAATATGCTAATGTGCTTTATAAATCTCTAATGAGGAATAGGGTGTACTACTACTTCATGAACTTTTAAACAAGAGCCCCCCCACCTGCTTTCTTTTCATGGGACATCTTGCAGGACATGGAACAGTTTTAGAAACTCTGATGTAGAAAAGTTAGTAAATAAAAGATGTATAAAAATATACAGTGATTTGATGTTGAAATGCTACAGTTCATTGGAAATACTGTGAGTGTGTGTGTATATGTGTGTGTGTGTGTGTGTGTGTGTCCCAGATTATACAGTGTATTTGCTTAATAATTCCTCTTCCATATATTTGCACACTGCTATTTTAGCTTCACAATAGTTCCGGGATGCAATGCAAAATAAGTAGAGATTGCTGCTTCTGTTTTACATAGGATCGAAGAAGAGTCCCTACATGCCAAGTGCCTTTTGTCACACTGTTAATTATTTGCCAAATCAGGATCAGGAATTTTGGATTTAGAAATTATGTATCTTAGCTTTAGAAGTTTTCTCTTAAACTGTATTATTTTTCCTCTAGATTCTCATTGTAATGTTTATATTGACATAAATGGAATCCAATGGCTTAATAGTAGAATGGGGCATTGCTGTTACTGTTGCCCAGATGATGCCTTAATTAGATAATAAAATGCCTTTAGCTTCTGAGAAAACCACAAGCTGCTTGCCATTAATTTTATGTAGGACTTCTTGTATCATTAATAATTGTTCCTCTTCCCCTCTTTTTTTTCCCTACAAATAATCTTGATCTGTGAACCTGGTTTTTCTCAAAGAGGGTAAGCAGAAATAAAATGCAGAGCCTTAAAGAAGCTCAGATATGGAGCTGAAAATATATACTGGAACTAAGAAAGCTGGCATAAATAGAAAGATAGTTTATTATCATATTTTCAAGCAGAATGATTTCACAAAATGACGTGTTGGAGAGTTGGATTGTCCTCAGGTCAGTACGATGAAGACAGCAGTCGTGTTTGCCCAAGGAAATCATTTGAGCCAAGTCAGGAAGTGGTCCTACGACAGATACGTAGAAACGAAATCTGAAATGATCATTTTAAATGTAAGTGTGCATTAATTTGCATTTAGCAACAGCTGCCCCTGAACCGTGCCAGGGATGAGCTGGAAATCTGAACACAAAATGAACAAACCTTTTAGAAGCTCTAAAATTAAGAAAGACTTGTATTCAAGCCTGCATGAGGACAGCTGCCTGGAAAACATGCCCTTCACAGGGAAGTAAGGGCTCTGGAGAATGATCCGTTTTTACAGGGTTATATACTTTTTTACAACTTGTAAAAGCTCAAAAGATTATAGATTAGCATGTAGGCAAGAATCACGAGTTTTACCATGAAGGAATGCATGGAGTAGAAGCACTGATCGATATCTTAAGGACAAGATGGTTTTCCTTTAGGCTACTCATTCACAAAGCAGATGTACAATGCATGCGTGGTGGGCCATCAATCAGTCTTTTGCTCTGAGCAGAGTTTTTGTATGCTCAAGCTTAGAAAGAATTCTAAAATGGCTTCCCTCATATATCAGGCCTTTGGAGAGTTTTTCTCTCATCGGAAAACATTTAAAGACCAACTGGACAATTCCTTCAGAAAAACATTATGTTTGCTGAGTCCCTTCCAACTTTTCATTTGCCTTTTTTCACTTATCTAAACTTAAATGAGACTAGTCTTATTTGGCTGGGTTTTGAGATTCAGATACCAATTTTATTTTTTAAGACATATATGTTCTTGATTCTAAAGAAAATATGTTAATTGCTTAAGAATTGAAAAATACTGGGGCCCCTGGGTGGCTCAGTTGGTTAAGCATTCAACTTCGGCTCAGGTCATGATCTCACGGTCTTTGGGTTCGAGCCCCGCGTTGGGCTCTGTGCTGACAACTAGCTCAGAGCCTGGAGCCTGTTTTGGATCCTGTATCTCCCTCTCTCTCTGACCCTCCCCTGCTCACGCTGTCTCTCTCTCTCTCAGAAATAAATAAAACATTAAAAAAAAGAATTGAAAAATACAAAGAAGAAAATAAAAATTATCCAAGTCACACCTTCCTTAGACTATGAGTATTATTTAATATAAAATACCACAAAGGCATACACACATGCAGAGAGACACATTGGAAGATAACAGTTTTGCATCTTGCTTATTTCAGTGAATGTCAGTGATTTTTAGTGACATTAATATTTTTGAAAAATATGTAGCTGTATAGCTTTTCAACATAATTGAACAATTAACTCTATTTAACCACTTTATGATTGTTACATAATTTCAAATTTTTCACTTTTATAAAAAATACTGCATCAGACATCCTTTTAATTGTCCCTGTTGATTCATACATATACTTTTAGTAGATGCCAGGAGATAGGAATGCCTGCGTTTGCCAATATTAAAAGTGAACTTTCACTCATTTTCTACCTGTGATGGTTAGTTGTATGTGTTAATTTGACTAGTTTAAAGGAGACCCAGAGAGCTGGTAAAATATTATTTCTAGGTGTGTCTGTGAGGATGTTTCTGGAAGAGATTAGCATTTGAATTAGTAGACAAATAAAAAAGATGCCCCTCACCAAAGTGAGTGGATATGAGGCAATAGATGAAGGGCACACATAGAACAAGTCAGAGGGAAAGCAAATTCTCTCTCTTCTCGAGCTGGGATGTCCATTTTCTTCTGCCTCCAGACACTGGAGCTCCTGGTTCTCAGGCCTTCAGATCCAAGACTGGATTATACTACCTTCTTTCCTGCTTCTCCAGGTTAGAGAGGGCATATTGTTGCATACTTAGCCTCCATTGGGCTATGTGGCCCAATGCCCATCTACCTCCTCCTACATCTCTCTCTCTCTCTCTCTCTCTCTCTCCTGTTCTGTTTCTCTGGAGAACCCTGACTACTACAACATCCTGATTAGCACAAGAGCCGCAACTCCCCCCCGTGGAAGCCTCTGCTTTACACCCCTTCTGCTTACATCCCATCCTTTCCTACCTCCTACCTTTTCTTTTCAGTTTCTTTTCTCTTTTGAGCTGTCAGACATTCTCTCTCAAATATGCCCTTCCCAGTCGTTTCCGAGAGATGCTGAAATCTTTCCACCAAAAATAAATACAAAGCAAAAGCTCAAAGTTCTCACAACAACGACTAGTCCACCTCTAGCTACTGATTAGCCGACTCTCTCCTGAATTCCACTGAAAGAGCTGTATTTCGGTAAAGCCACTGTCTAGTTTTATTTATCTTCATCATGTTTGCTAAGTAGTGTCTCTTTTTGCAGGGCCCCTTTCTTCCCTTGTCACCCAGAAAATGCACCTCTGGTATTTTTCCAACCGCTCTGGCTATAATCTCTTTGTCCCACATGCATAACTGTATTCTTCTAACCGGCATTAAATGTTGGAATTCCTGAGGGCTCAGTCCGAGGCTCTCCTCTTAGTTAATAGTCTCTTGTGTGAAACCTCGCTCCAACCTACATCTTCAATTACTACCTGTATGTAGATGACTCACATTTCTCTCCCTTAGACCAGAGTTCTGTTCTGAATACATATCTACTTGATATCAACTTTTCAATGATTCAAAGGAAAATCACTCTTAACCAGTCTACAATGAGCTTAGTGTCCCCCTAATGTGGACTGAAGTATTGGTATTTGGAGCCAATGACCAGGAAAATTCTTGAGATGTTTTTGGTGCAAAAATGTGGTTTTATTAAAGCAGAGGGACAGGACCCATAGGGAGAAAGTGCTGCTGCATTTTAAGCGTGAAGGATGACTGATTATATGAGATTTTTCTGTCCTACGGAGGGTGATGTTAGCATCCCAGGAAATTGAGTCTATAGTTTTCTGGAGGTTTGGATATTGATAAGATTGCTTTTTTCTCTTTTAAATCCTTAAGACAGTTGCAGACTGTCCCGCATGATTATGATCTCCATCACTTAACCACTTATTTTTCCTTTCCCTCTGTTCTTGGGCAGCCAGGAGTGTCTGAGGAATGTCACCCATATCCCAGCTGGGTTGTGGGGTGTTAGCTTGTGCTTTGCCCTCAACTCACCTTTTGCTCCCTCATCACCCCCTCACATACACACACCCAAAATGCATCTATTATATCTTCTATTGCATATCAGAAATATTTACATCTCAGTGAATGACACTACTGTGCATCCGTATGTCCAAAAATTTAGGATGGCATCATCTTTTTTTATCATTCATCTAG